TGATTCACTTAACAAAGGTGGCAAGAAAAATTGTAAAATGGGCAAAACTCACTTAATCAATTTCCCACTTAGCAACATAAATTTTGGGCTCAGTTGTGGTCGTAAGTTGAGGACTACCTGTATATGCGCAGAACATGTTTTAAATGCTTTTCTCCAGTTAGGACGTAGTTAGCAATGGCAGGCTGTTCCTATTCTTATAAATAAATCTCATTTCTGTTATAATGCCAACTTCACTAAAACTTGCTCAGGTTAGATTCTCATTTCAGGAATATTCATATTCACATGTTGAATTAGTATTATACGGTAGTATTATTTAAGTGGCTAAATATAATGGAAACATATCCATATTTATAGAATAGAATAGAATAGAATAGAATAGAATAGAATAGAATAGAATAGAATAGAATAGAATAGAATAGAATAGAATAGAATAGAATAGAATAGAATAGAATAGAATTCTTTATTGGCCAAGTGTGATTGGACACACGAGGAATTTGTCTTGGTACATACGCTCTCAGTGTACATAAAAGAAGATACATTTGTCAAGAATCATAAGGTACAACACTTAATGATAGTCATAGGGAAACAGTCAATATAAATCTTAAGGATACCAGCAATAAGGTTACAGTCATATAGTCATAAGTGGGAGGAGATGGGTGATAGGAACGATGAGAAGATTAATAATTATTAATAATAATTAATAGTTAAAGAGACTTAGTCCTTTAGTGTGTGAGGACTGTATTCTATAATGGCAAGAAAAATTGATTCAGTCCACACTGCAGAATAAAAAGTGGTTAAAGCATCAGGCTTGAAGCCAGGACAATGAGTTCTAGTCCCATCATAAACATGAAAAACAAACTGGATGACTTTGAACCAGCCACTCTCTGTTGTGTGAAAAAAGGAGAAGAAAGGAGTATTCGTTATGCTTGTCACCTTGAATGATTTATCAAAATAGTAAAAGCAGGATGTAAAAAAAAAAATCAATAAAGTTTGAAAGTTGTTCAAGTGTCAAGTTACCAGGTAGCAAAAGTATTTCTAGGACCAAGGGAATTGATGTTTCGATATAAAGATTACACTGCTGGGAACAATAATAGTAATCACCTTCTGTTGTGAATCTTTCCCATTTGCTTTATAGTGCATAAAGTATTTCCCCTAAGGGAATATAATAACAAAAATTCCACATATCTCTCAAATTCTATATCACCTGAGAGTCACCATTATCAAAACAACTAAAGGAACAGCATTAGTTGGCAAAACATAAAAGCTCTACTGTGATTGTTAAATGGCGAGATCCAGAACTTGCTCAGAGGACATCAAAGGTCTCTGTTTCATTGCTGCCATCTCACAGTTGTCTGGATTCCTTCAGTCCAGATTTTTATAAAATCTTGGATTTTTATAAGAATATTTAGATTACAGCAAGGATAATTTTTCTAAGAGATTCTCCCCTTCTTTCCAATTTATTAACATTATAGTATGGATTATATCAGTGGTGGAATCCAAATTATTTTACTACTGGTTCTGTGGGCGTGGCTTGGTGGACATGGCAGAGGAAGGATACTGCAAAATCGCCATTCCAACCCTACTCCTAGGCGAAGGATATTGCAAAATCTCCATTCCCATCCCACTCTGGGGCCAGCCAGAGATGGTATTTGCCGGTTCTCTGAACTACTCAAAATTTCCACTACCAGTTCTCCAGAACCGGTCAGAATCTGCTGAATTGCACCCCTGGATTATATTAAAATATATGTTAAAAATATTTTGGATCTGACATAAAACACAACTCAAGAGACATTACAATGTTAGTTGTAGATGATGGCATAAAGGTATAGAAAACTCTAAATCCTAATACAAGTATCCCACTATCCAAAAGAGAACAGCAATCCTAAAATGCAATTTTTAGATTTCATTGGACAATTGTTCCTCTGCAGCCTTGACATCTATGGGGAAGTGTTTGTGTAACTGCAGCCATGAATAACTGAAAGGGCTGGAAGTTGTGGTAGAACAGAGATGGGACTTAGGACCTAATAGGAAACAAAAGGCAGGAATTTCATGCCTCTTTCTTTCCATTTTTCACTGGCATGAATATAGTACCAAATTGAATGAGTATATCCAATTCGAATAAAAGTTTACTATTTAAACTTGCTTTGTCATGGAACACCAGTTATGAAATTATTGTTTACCTCTAGAGAGAAGGCAGAGGCAGAATGAATGCCATTTCAAGAGGCATTTTTTCTTTCCAATAATTATACAACCTCCCTTATTCTGAGCCCCTTACCTTATTAACATTAGAGGAGGCTCCTTCTCTGTTTCCACTTTTATTCATTTACACCTATACCAGTGGTAGGTTGCCCCGGTTCGGACCGGTTCACAAGAACCGGTAGTAAAACCTGTGGGAGGCTCTGCCCACCGCCCCGGATGTCATCATAGGTAATCTGTGCATGTGCAGAAGCGAGCACACACGCTCCCAATGCAAACCGGTAGTAAAGGTAAGTAGAATCCACCACTGACCTACCACAACTCCAGTACATTGAATCTTCAAGACTGCCAAAATTATCTTGAGATCTATTCTACTTCCCGAAACAGTTATAATGTATGTCCTCTAGATCATGACATGTATACAGGGGTACATGAAAATGTTCATTCAAATGGAGAGAGGTGAGGACAAATGTATAGCTTCAAACCTGGAAGGGAGCAGCTTTGCTAAACTGTGATTTATGTTGCCATGGCTTATGAAATTGAACACTATGTGGATATTGTGTTAACCATATATTTGGTTTGTAAAATCTCATTTAGGCTGGGTTGAATGCAACTTGCTAAACTAAAATTTGAATAAGCCACATAATCTATTAGTGTAATGTGTGAACCTAGCAGTAACATTTATATAAATAATGGGATTTTGGCTGCAATTCATACCAGCCTATTGTCCTTTATCTCAATGTAATTTATTCCAAGCCAGTTGGCTACATAGGGCTTTACTTCATTTACTTATATTACTGGAATGCCAAAATGTCTGAGCGAAGCATTTAATCAGCCACTAAATTAAAGAAGAGATGAACATTCTATAATCAGTTACTGTACAGAAGAGTCCAAATCATCATACATTTAATTTCATTTCAATGACATTTAATTTTGTTGTATGAGGTGCAATGACAATAAACTAAACTAAACTAAACAAAACATTAAGTTAAATCATGGGTGTCAAACCTGTGGCCTGCAGGCTGGATGCCTCATGTGCTGGCCACGCCCACCGTTTTAGCGAAGGGGAAAAAAGTTGATACATCATGTGATGTGTCATTGTGAGTTTGACACCTCTGACCTAAAAATATGTACAACATTCTTCTTGATCAGTTTCAAATGTATTCTATGATCAATTAGGAAGTGGGGGAAAGCCACATACAAAGCCAAATCTATTGAAAAATAATATGTGCAGAATTATATGGAGACATGAGGGTGGGAAATAAAATACAGATTGTAAGTGAAAGGTAGCATGTTATCTTGATCCTGGCTTAACATGTGAGAACTCAGGCATTATGCTTCCTAAATCACTGAGTGTTGTAGCTATGTTCATATTGTACACTGAACACAAATTAGTCACATACATTTTAGTCTAGTACATTGACCAACTGATTTATGTCATTAATTTATGGCTCATTGCATTGTGTAAGCCCTCTTCCCAAATTGGATAGCATTCAGACTATGCTCAAACCATTTTTTATTCAATAAACCACCGTTAGGCAAGTATGACTCAATGTGTTGTGTAACTTCAGTTTCCATGTCATGCAAAAGATATAAGCTTAATGGGAGGATAATTTTTTATGAAACTGAATGATGTTGGCATATCAGCTAACATGCAGGAACATGGACTGCTAGTTCTGCAAAATGCTACAGTTATGGGTTTGCCGACTGCAACATGTTGCTGATTTTTTTAAAAAAAACAACAACAACCCCACAGCAGGGTAAATCAACATTCATTCATTCAGCTACATTCATAAAAAGTTGGGATGGCCTCAAGATGATGACAATTGTGGCATGCCATCATCAAGAGTCAAGTACTCTTGTGCCTCATCATTACACAAAAAGAAATTGCATCATTTGTGTTGTGACATCATTCCCACTTCCTCATGCATACAGTAGAGCTACCCAAATTATTTTATTCATACAATGGAAGTAATCATGTCAGGGAAAAACATAGTGCACAATATCCTGAATTTAACATAATATGTTTAGCATTGTGAAAACCCAGTTCCATTGATTTTTTTTTTGATTTTTTTTATTTTTATATGCCACCCTTCTCCGGGGACTCAGGGCTGCTTACAATGCATTAAGTAATAGCCTTCATACTTTTGTATATTTTATACAAAGTCAGCTTATTGCCCCCACAAACCGGGTCCTCATTTTACCCACCTTAGAAAGAATGGAAGGCTGAGTCGACCTTGAGCCTGGTGAGAATTGAACTCGCAGTAATTGCAGGCAGCTGGATGTTAAATGCTGCCTTAGTAGGAGGCATTAGCCTCCTACGCCACTCAGGCTTCTTAGGTATTAGACCAACACGCAACATTTTCTGAATATTTTAAGCATGTTTGGCGAACACAGCCTCATAACCGTGTATATCTCCCTGCTCTGCCCACCTTTAATTTAGCCACCACACTTTCCTAGTCTCTTATCATCCAAATCCAGAAGACCACCTTTGAAAAGGAAACAAGGTGGGAATACGTAGCGCTGTTTTCTGCTCCGTTACATCGCGGAGGTCGATTCAAGCCTATTGTATGCGAGCAATAGCATCCCCCGCCCCGCCCCCTACCCATTTCAGGATGGACCGAGCCATTCAGAGCGCAGAATGGGGGAGAAGGCGTAGGGAAAGGGAGAGAAAGCAAGCGAAAAGAAGGAAAAGTCTGTGAAAAATACAAAGGCGAGACGCGAGCTCTTCTCCTTGCTGCCTTTCGGGACATCCTGGAAGGCCGCCCATATAGAGGGAGCACCCTTGTCCGCCGTTTTTCAACTCCCCCCCCCCGCGTTAGCAAGAAGTGGGAAGGACGGAGCTCGGCGCCGCTTGTGGCTGCGGTGGCAGCAATTCGGCCGTGGGAGAGTTTTCATTCAATGTGCGGAGGAAGCCCGGGGGGCGCGTGCACCGCGTCGCCTTCGCAAAGCCGTGCAATTTCGCTGTGGTCCCTTGGCCACCGTAGCGTCGGCTCCCAGATGGCATTCTCGGCAAGACCGCGTCTCCTCGCGTAGGGTTTACTCGGAGGAGACGACCCAAGCAGGGCACCAGGTAAGTCTGGCTGTACTCGGAACGAGGGAATGTGGCCGCCCAGGGCTTCTGGAACGGGTGGTCGTGGCGGAAGGACACACAGACAGCAGAGTCTCGAGATCGGAAAGGGTGGAAAACGCTCCCTTTTGCCCGGAGCCTCGTCTCTCAGCTCCGATGCGGCGGCGGCGGCGGCGGCTCTGCCTTTTTCGCTCCTCTCCTCATCTCGGGTTATCTGCGACTGGAATGCCGGTGCCCGCTTCGTAGCGCTAGTTAGTACGCCTGAGCCAACGCTGCCTCTCCACCGCCGACGTAACTAACAGCTGAAGCCCGTTTTAGAGGCGGCAGCGGCCAGGGTCGGTTTGCGCTATATATGCGCCGGTCACTACACCTGGGTTGTTGTCCTCCTCCCTGGAGGGGGCGGGTTGTTTTGTTGATTTTTGTAGTAGCTTTGGGAGGGAGTCACTTGGATCGCGAGCGCAGAAGCAGGAGGGGGAAGTTTAACGTGCGCCTGCTCAGGAAACCGAGAACCGGGTTGGTACAGTATTACAGAGGGAGAGAGAGAGAGAGAGAGAGGACGGGTTATTCGCGCTCTCATTATTGGCGCGCGCGCATATGTGTGTTTGTGTATATATGTCTGTGTGTGTATGTGTGTGGGTGCAACGTTTCAATTTAGACTTGTAAAATTGGAAGCAATTCCGGGAGATTAGGAAGTTCGCCTTCGTTAAGGCCGTTGCTCTACCTGCGAAGCGCTGTAGAGCCTCGGAAGCTGCCTTTCCAGAATCTCCGCTTTTTAAGAAAAGACGCGGTTTTGTACATTCTTGGGAATGATTGAATTCGAAGTCTATGGAGATTCTTAGTCATCCAGGCCATGGTTGTCCCAAAGGTCCTTTTTCCCCCCCAAGTGACCTCAACGACTCTCTAAAAGAATGCAAATATCAAGCTGTCTGCAAGGAATATAAATCCTTCCGTTCCCCACCATCCCGTCAGAGCTGAGAAAGCTTCTTGGATGAGAAGCGAAAGGTCGTCCAAGAAAAACGAGAAAGTCCAGTTGCCTCCTGAAAAAGCACCTTTGGGACATTGAATTCGAAGGAAGGCAGTTATATAGGCTCCGGAACAGAGATGGAAGCGCTTGAAACATGCATCCTTTACCCTAAATTAGAGCAAATGTCTAACACCAGTGTGTGAAAAGTATTTGTATCCCTTTTAGGATGGATGTTAGCCCAGCTTTAATTAAAGCTTGGCTTTGGCTGTTTCACTGCTGTATGGATACTGGAGCAATGTGTCTTTGTGGTGTTTGTGTTTGACAGCGTGAAAAGTACAGGTAGTGTGGGTGTTTACTCTGAAGAAAAAAATACTCTGTGTTTGACATTTTGTCAGTGTGCTTATATCTGAAGTTTAGTAGCCTCTTTTTAAGATGGATAAATACCCTTTCAAGTTTTATACTGCATATATATCAGAAAATAACTGCTGCTGGCTATATTGATATTTTCTGTCTGGCAGGCAGGTACACCTGTCTTTATATTTGGTGAACTCTAGTTAAAGAATTGGAATACCAGTGACAACTGTATGAAATTATATAAACATTTTGTTTTAAGATTCTATTGTTAGAATCTTAAAATACTTATTCCAGCAAAAAAATTACTTGTGGTTCGCATATCAACCTGGTTTAACTTCTTGATGAGGTTTTTGCAGCATGAGTATTACAATATTTCCTCTGTCATGTTCTAATGAAATGGTTAAAAAGAAGTTCCTAATCTCAGTTTTAAACTTGCCCCTTATGTTCATGCCATATCTACAATACAGGGATAACAATAATAGTTTATTCCACAGGATTGGTATCATCTTGACCCTATCAGATTTGATTATTAAATTGATGCTAAGTAACAGTTCTGTCAGGAAATTGAAATTTGGGCTTGTCAATAGTTCCTCGTTAGTTGGAGGGAAGTTCAGTGTTAAGAGTTATGTCTTTATCCTGGGTTAATCCTAGTCTGCCTTTTATTGGTTACTGTATTGCTACAAGATGGGGAGATAGTTGTATGGCAGCAATAGAGGTGAAATGTATTTTGGTCACAAGGTAAACATGAGTCAGCAGTATGAGTGCTACAAAAGCTGCAACTGTAGGTTATGTTAACAGAACCATAATTTAAAAAATAAAGCTTTATGCTGTTTTATACTCAGATATTATCCATATGTAAATTTAGAACCAAGATATAAGGATATCATTTCCAAATTGGAACAGAAGCCTAGAAGCCATATGAAGATGTCAAAATAATGATTTTGGAATATTTAGTTTAGAAATCAGAAGATTAAGAATATAGCATAGCATAGTGTTCAAGTGTTTTATCCCATAAAAGATGGCAGTATTTTAAGTGTTTGATGCTAAGACATCAATGGTGGTTCTAACTGACTTCCATTAAAGAAAATAGATTTTGAATGAGCTTGATTTTGAACTATAAACTAGCAAACCATATTTTAGTGAATAAAAATAATGTTAACATTTAGAAAAATGGGATAATTGAGTAAAATCATGGTTAAATTATGAATGTGAGTTCTACAAAGCTTTTAAATGATTAGAGCATTTAACATCTAACTAAATGAGCATCTGAACATGTTTGGCTGTTCTCATGGATGGCATTCAAGCAGAAGCTGGACTGCCATCTGTATAATTGATAGCTGATAAAGACATCCAGCAGACATGTCCATGAATGGGATAGTAAGGCATTTTGTTACAGCTGCAGTTCTCATTACCCAAATCCTTAGTTTCACATTCCTCCATATGTGTCTTCAACTTGTTGATGACTAAATTCTCCGAAGAGAAAATTTTATGATGATGGAGTTCTTTATATTAATTTATTCAGTGAAAATGCCACTCAGTTCCAACCAACTTTGAGTGGTGTATTGTACAAAAAAGTAGCAGCATAAAAATAGTAGTAAAATATTTATAAAAAAAGAAACAACAAGATATTGGAACAAGAGTTGACTATGGTCCACCATAGTCAAACACAATCCAACAGGGGCCCCAACCACCTTTACCCAAGACCTGGGAGAACAGCTTTCTGGAATGCCAGAAAGAGAGAGATGGGGAATATTGGGGAATCTCATTCAAGAGGGCATGTATCATGACAGTGAAGGCATGCTTCTAGGATCCTGATAGATTCCAGGTGGACTTGGAGAGCACCAACTCTGTCAGATTGAATCAACCAGGTTGTCATGAGAGACACTGGGGCCCTATGCCATGCAGGGCTGAATAGATTATGATAAGCACCTTGAATAACACCTGGAAGCATTTTGTAACAGTACAGTTTATGAAGCAGAGATGTCACATGCCAATCAAGGTTCATGTTGCTGAATTCTGGACCAGTTGAAGTCCAAGTGGTCTTTAAAGGCTAGCCATGTAGAGCACATTGCAGTAGTTAATACATGTGGTGACTAGGGCATGAGTGACTGCACAACCTTTTGCTGCATTCCTTTTTGTAGCTTTAAAAAAAAAACAATCCTTAACCATTGTGTGGGAATTGGCAAAGCAAAAGCCTATTGTCTGGGAAGAATAGAACAAGGTATAAAATGGTCTGGGCAGAGATTGAACTCAGTTCTTTTTTTTTTTTTTAATTTGATTTATATGCAGCCCTTCTCCGGAGACTCAGGGCGGCTTACAATGCGTTAAGCAATAGCCTTCATACTTTTGTATATTTTTACAAAGTCAGCTTATTGCCCCCACAAACTGAGTCCTCAATTTACCTACCTTAGAAAGGATGGAAGGCTGAGTCAACCTTGAGCCTGGCAAGATTCGAACTTACTAATTGCAGACAGCTGGAGTTAAATTACAATGCATTAGTCTGCTGAGCTATCCAGGCTCCTGGATATCAGTTCTTCAAGATCCTTTCCTAATCTGATTATATCATTTTACCTTTTTTACAGTTACTTTTTAACATCCTATTGTTTTCCAGCTTTCTTATTGGTGTCTAGGGAAATTGCTTGCTACAAGGCAAGTATTATCTGATCATCATTTGATTTCTGAAAATGTTATGAATAACCAGCAAACTTTTTATGAAATAGTTATCCCAAAATATTAACCCACATTGCCTGCTGTTTGTAATCTCGGTTCTGTTCTGAGCCTCTGATATCAGAAATAAGCTACATCATAGATTTTTCACATAGTAATTCAGCTAAGTGATTATTCTATATTTGAATAATAAACAGTGTTGAGGATTTACTAATGTTTTGTTTTAAAGAAATGATTTGGCTGGTATGTTTGTTCTACATAGGTAGAGGGCAATGCAGATAATTCAGTCTCTTTTGATCCACTCCCTGAATGGTAAAATACTTGGAAACACCTTTAGTGGGCTGCTTTGATGCCTTCTCAAAGGGTTCTGAACATTTCTGATGAGATAACTGAGGAAACAAAATGACTCATAAAATTATTTCCACAGCTGTAGTAAGTACCAAATTAGATATTAGAAGAGTAGTTTAAGATAAACAAAATCATCCGAGAAATCTGTTACAGTTTTTATTCATGGAATGTGTAAAGTGCTCTATTTTCCCAGGAATAAACAGACAGCTCTTTCTTCTAGTTTTGGTAGCTTTGCCAAATCTGATAAATCTGTTGACTTTACATAGATTTATGATTCCAATGAGACATAAAATTACCATTGTGGCAAAGATATCAATTATTTTAGAAAAGTAGGTGTCTCAGTTTATAGCTGGAGAATAATGGGAAGTACTGATTTTTTTTTTAAAAAAAAAAAGGTAGAGAAGCATCTGAATATGCTAATATAAATCAAAATGTTTGTATTGCCTCACATCAGAGGCTCCTAACTTTATTACAATATTTGTATCATGTATGATGTTTTTAATTTAATACTTTTTCTTTTTCTGTAATTCTTCTTGAGAATTTGCAATCTTCCCAGCCAGCTTCCAATAGGTCAATGGGGAAATCTGAATTCGCTTGATGATTGCATGATTGACTTAATAACTGCAGTGATTCTCTTAACAACCATGGCAAAAAAGATAATAAGATCAGT